TTCCAAACTGGAAAGGGTAGAAATTCTTAGGGAGAAGTGGATGCCCAGGAGAGGTGGAAAAGAGTAAGGGCTGTTGCTGGGTATCTATGACCCTACTCCTACAGACCAGGTGAATTCTATTTAAGCCATTGAAAGTGCAGACAAGGTGGGAAATGCAATCACAGAGAGAGGCAAGTATCTCTATTTCTCTTTCTCCCCCACTGCCTCTTGTGCACTGAGCATAACAAAGCCATGTGGTTGTCCTGCCTCCTCCCTGCCAACTCTCCTGCTGCTGGGGCTCTATAATGCCAGGGAAGTGACTCTTTGAATTTTGAGACTCTGCTAATGGAAATGATGTTGTCTGACTCATTCTAATTTCAACAGTAATCCTTATTTTCTCCTCCTTACCTCCCTTGCCCTCTTTATAAACTTCTACAAAGCCCAAATCATCCATTATTACATGGATTTATTCACATGCTTGTTACCCAGTACTACACTCTGAGCAATGCCAATCATTCTGCCAATCCTTAGTGCAAGTATTCCACCTACTCAACACCAGGAGGGCTCTGGGATGCCTGGAAGGCACAGTTACTGCCTTAGTGAAATTTAGGGTCAAGTCAGGGGAGGTAGACATTCAGACAAACAATTATACAATTAATTGATAACATCCAATCATCAAATGTGCGTACAAAAAGTTCTTGTAAAAACAAAATAATGGGTCTATTCTTCATTTCTCTAGAGCCTTGCATAATGCTTATATATCAAATGCTAAAAAAATAAATACAACTCAGTGAAGAAATGAGCAAGTGAACAAATAAATTAATGAAAATGCTGATTTTTTTCCAAAATGATAAAAGTTTATGACTTAAGAAATCATAGAGCTATAAACCCTATCGATCTTTAGCAACATATTCATAGATTTCAAGAAAAAGATTTAAAAGTCTATAGAAATAAAATTAATTCCTTAGAAAATAAAGTGGGCTTACTAACAACAAGAACCTGGTTACCTAAGTGGAGAGAATGCGGACAGACTGATATATGCACCTATCCATTCAAAAGATGTTTATTAAATATTTATGCCTATTAAGTACTGGCAATCAATAGACAAGCTGCTTTATATCATGGTACCTGACTTATGTTCTAGAGCAAGGACTTGGGGAGACACACAACAGACAACCAAGGAAAGACTAGTGAGGTTCCTAATTGTGGTACTATAAAGTAAGTAGTCACATCATAGAACCATGATTAAATTGAAAGTTATCCAGGAAGTAGGGCAGGTGATATTAGAGGGAAAGCCAGGGTGAACTTCTTGGAGGAAGTGACATTAGAATTATGCTCTGTCCCTAGGGAACAGAAAATATCCTGAGATAGTAAAATACTAGTATATTTTAGAAGCAGCAAATAGATCCACATGGCCAGAAATCAGTAAAAGAAAGCTAAAGAGGTAGGAGAGGAAAATTCCATGGGAATTTTACTTGCTAGTAAGAAGGCTCAGTTTTTTAAGTGCATCAGGCAATGGTATGGCATCATTTTACTTCTTATTATAAAGATCACTAATATTGATTATGCAAAAATGGGTTTGAGAGATTGAGGTGGAAAACCACAGGTAGGAAACCAATGAGATCCTTCAGGTGAATACAGAAGAGAGCCTTCTGGAAGTACACGGGCTTAGAACATGTTTTGTAAAAAGCAACTATCAGAGCTGCTGTGATCTATAGACAAGGTGGTAAGACTAGAAATTATGGGAAAGGAGGAAGCAAGGGGGCTACCCAGGGTTTTTCTAAAGGAACAGGGTCTAATGGTTCCATTTACTGTGATAGAGGGATGTGAAGGAGCGGGTCCTGAGGCTATTAGTAATCCAGAGTTACATTTTTACTATACTAAATATGAGACATTGATTATAGTTTCAAGTGGAGATATCAAGTAGGCAATTGCATATATTAATTCCGGAGGTCATATGTACAGGATACAGATGTGAAGAGGACTAGCATGCAGATGGTGTTTAAATTTAAGAAACGATAAATTCAGCTAGCCATGGGGTGTAGACGAAAAAGAAAAAAAAAGAAAGAAAAAGAAGGCCTGAGACTAAGCCCTGAAATGAAATAGGGATAGCAAGTGACAAGGAAGAAAAGTCTAAAATTTTTTTTTTTTTTTAAAAACGGAAATACCTATTTGAACCAAATACTGGGACAGATTGAATGAGGTAAGAAAAGTTAAGTGTCTATTGGATTTGGCTGTGTGACAGTCAGTGGTATGTGCCTAGGGAACAGAAAGTGGAAAGATTATGAGGTACTAAAATACTAGTATATTTTTAGAAGCAGCAAGAAGATCTTGAATTAAGTCATATCTCTAACGTATTCTGCATTGGTCAAGGTTCATCAAGAGAAACACAACCTATAGGATGCTCACATAAATTATGGGATTTATTGCAAAGAGTTGCTTAGGTAATACTAGGGCTAACTAAACAAATGCAAATTCCACCGGGCAGGCCACGGGAAGGATAGGCTGGAAACTCTTTTCAGGAGTGGCAGATGCTGTCCACAGGTGGAATTTCTTGTTCCTCAGGGAAATCTCAATTCTGCTTCAGGAAACTTTCACCTGATTGAATCATGCCTACCCAGATTATCTAGAAACATCTTCTTAAAGTCAAATGGTTATAGACATCAACCACATCACAGCAACATTTACAAAGGTGTTTGGTTGAATAACTAAACTGTGACCTGGCCACGCTGACACATTCAACTGACACTCAAATGTCTAAAGATTGATTGGAAGGAGTTCCAGCTTGTCTCATTGGAATGAGACAAGCAGGTGGAGAGAGCAACTAAAGCCAAGTTTTAAAGAGAAACCATTCTGAGCATAGGAGGTGAGGAGAGAAGGAGAGGTAGCTCTCAAGTTGGGTCCTAGGATTTTTATTACTATTGATTTGATTGGTAGTGTATACAGCAAGGTTTTATGTTTACATGAATAATCCAGGGAAACAGAGATAAAATTATGCTGAAAAGGATGGATTGGACCCAGAAGATATGCCAAGGCTTGGTTTTAGACAGACACTCAGGTATGTGTTCTTCACCTGCTCTGCCAAGGGTATGTGCTGGTGGTTGAAGATTACAAGGTGCCAGTATTGGGTGCACAGCAGAGCAGTCATGCTGTGTCTAATAAAACCCTAAAGTGGGTACATGGCATTGCTGGTCATGTGTACCTGAAGGCAATTCATCCCCTTAGAGGATAATCTAGATATAGATTGGACATGGAGAGATGGAGAGTGGGACTCAACATCAGGGTTATCAGCCTGCTCCACAACTGGGCTCTAGCACATCTGTGAACCTCTACTACTAAAAATGTACATAGGGTCTTTAACTGAGCAGAAGCTCTTTTGTTGCCATAACCTTCTTACTGGAATCTATCACCAGAAAAAAATCTAAATGTGCTGCTGGAAGATGTCTTTCAATCCAAAAGTCTATGACTTTATTAGAGATGCTGTTCATCCTGTGTGAGCATACAGTGTGGATGAACAATGGTGTGAAAAATGAGGACAAATGGCCCCAAGGGAGAAAGATAAAGAATGAGGACATGTTAGAGAGTAATAAGATTATTAGGACAAAGCAGATGGTTGGCAAAATAATATGAATGAGCTTTTTCTAGGCTGATCTTTTTTTAAACACAAAAACATATGTATTTTAAAAAGAAAAGAAAACCGCCCAGGAGAAACAACTTGTTATCAAAAGAACCTGGAGGGGCTGGGCTTGCAACTCAGTGGTAGAGTGCTTGCCTAGCACGTGTGTGCATCACTGGTTCTGATCCTCAGCATCACATAAAAATAAATAAATAAAATATTGTCTTCATCTATAATTTAAAAAAATAGAATTTAAAATGCCAGAGGCTAGGGGAGGAGTGGGGAGTCCTTCCTAGGTTTAATGCTTTGTTGATGCTTCTGTTCTGTATCATATTCTTCCTGAAAGTGCTTGTTCAAGATAAATATAATAATTTCACCAACAAATCTCTGTGAAGAACATTTACTTTCAGTAGACACACCTTATATCCACAGTTTACTGAAGAACTAACATTTGCTATTGTATGGAGGGGAGGTAATAGGAATTGTACCCATGGGTACTCTAACAAAAAGCTACTTTCCAAGTGTTTTTAATTTTGTATATTGAGACAGGGTCTTGCTAAGTTGCCAAAGCTGGCCTTGAACTTGTAATCCTGCAGCCTCAGTCACCGGAGCTGCTAGAATTACAGGCTTATGTCAATGTCCCTGGATGACATTTGCTTTTTGAGCACTCATTGCCAGGTGAGTCAATTTAGTGTGTATAGGACAGAACCAGGGAAGTGAGTTTTTCTGGGGCATTTCAAATAATTCTGATGCTGTGGCCAGGTGCTTCTTTTATGGAAAGTAGTACAAGTAGGTCACATATCTGGCACTTTTACAATCAAAATGAGGACCCTCCTCTGGGCAATTCATTCTTCTAAAGTGAACACCATTTCTATCCATGTTTAAAGCCTTCCTTATATGCAAGATGGAGTTCGACTTTTGACTTCAGTACAAACCAGCTCATGGACCCATAGATGAATACCACTAACTCCAGGAGAGAAGCATTCCATGAGTTACTCCAGGTTGAAATTATCTACCTCTTCTGAACATGTGAAGGAGATCTCCTTCCCTACTCTTGATGCTGGGGCAAGAGAAGACCTGCATGATAACACACCAAACTTTTTCGGGGAAAGCAAGCTTACCTATACCTTTGATTTCAAATGACAAATCTCAAGCACTCTTCACTTTGAACATTTTGTTCATCTTTTATCCTATTATTGACTCCAAGTTCCTTCAGCCTTACACAGAAGATTTTTTCTACTTCTGGTTTGAAGTACACATTTTCAATTATGCAAATATAAGGTAATTAAAGTCTGGAAGTAACCTTAAAATTAAGTAATTGTCATTGTCAATGTAGACACACTGATTTTCTGTGGACAATTTCGCTCAAACACACAGCAGTGTTAGTTGGTTTGCTGGTACTTACTATAGGAGCATCCGTAGACCTCCACCCTCATGCCAATCTTTCCATTTGGATTCCATTCCAGGGGCACAAAGCGAATGAAGCGGGCCCTCACTGAGTGCAATAGCTTGTGGTGCACTACACTGTCAGCATTCATGTTTCCTGCAAACGTCTGCGGGGAGAAAGGAGATCCAGTGAGGTCCAAAATACTAGCAAACATCAACGGAAATCCAAGTTACACCACAGTTAGTCAGCATTTTATCACTGTGACCAGAAAAATTGATAAGAACAACTTGGAAGAAGAACATTTTATTTTAGCTCATGTTTCAGAGGTTTAGTCCATAGATACCCAAGTCCATTACTCTGGACACAAGATGAGGCAGAAGATCATGGTGGAAAGTTGTAATGGAGGAAAGCTGTCAGCTCATGGCCACCCAGAAGCAGAGCTATGGGTGAGGGGAGAGCAGGAGCTGCAGGGAAGGTGCACCTTGTCAGAGCAGACCCCAGTGACCCACCTCCTCCAGCCACGCCTTACCTGCCTACATTCACTACCCAATCAATCCATTAAGATGAGATGATTAGGTGACAGCTTTTGTAATCTACTCGTTTTATCTCTGAATATTTCTGCATTAATACAGAAGCACTTGGGGGATACCTCATATCCATACCATAACATTTACCAATTCTTTCAGGAAAGAAATCCTCTACGTCTCTGATATTCATCTGACTTGGGTAACAATGTTGCATCATGTGTTGTATTTTTTCAGAAACATCATGCATTATTCTTTAAGAAATTCCTCCACCCAACTCTCATGTGCAGCCAAATTTTATGAATAAAGCAATCCTAGCAAGTTGTAAGACATAAAGCCTAAAACATTTATAAAGTTAATAATATAATGAAATACATACATTCCTAATGTTCATAATCACTATGACCTGGGAGACACCATACAATCTCCTCTTGAAAGGAAAAGCTTTGAATTAAAGCAATTGTTACCATTATTTGATACCAATCACTTTGTTAAGCACTTTCCATTACCATTATCACCACTTTACAGATAAAAAATAACTGAAATCTACAAAGTGAAAGGGGGAAGGGAAAAAAAATCTTCAAATCGCCCAACTGACTAGTAATTGGTCTGAGATTCAATTCCAAGGCTGTCCTTTCCCAAATCTCATGTGGTTTCTACAGCCCCTGCTCTTCAACTCTCCCATTGTTAATTGCTACAGCAGGGAGACATCACAACTCAGATTTATGTGCAGTTTAACTTCACATTTCGTGGAGCAGTTTAAGTGAAAACACACAGCATAGTAACTACTTGATCCACTAACAGTGTGCCTCATAACCTTCATTTGATGAAGATTACTAGAATTTATTTTTTCTACAGATCAGATCCAAAGTTCTTACACCTCATCTATTTTTTTTAAATGGGGTCAAATATACATAACAAAAATTTACCATTTTAACTATTTGAAAGTGTGCATTCCAGTGCATTAGGCACATTCACACTGTTGGGCAAACATGACCACTGATCATTCTCAGGATATTTTCATCATCTCAATCCTACCTCATCACTAGGACAGGATATTGACTGGACATACCAATGTGCTTGCTTTATTGTAATTATCCTCTGTATTCAGCCTCAAGGATTTATAGATAAAACCAGGTGTAGTGGTATATGCCTATAAAGGAGGCTGAGGCAGAAAGACCTCAAGCTTGAGGCCAGTCTCCATAAGTAATTGAGACACTAACTCAAAATAAATAACTAAATAAAGGGATGGGAATGTAGTTCAGTAGTAAAGTACCATTGGACTCAATTCCCAATTTGGACAAAAAAAAAATTACAGATAAAATCTGCTTCTTCATGTACAATTAATATCAACCCCCAAGGGAAAAAAAAAAAGAAAGCAAGAAAAGAAAAAGATTTTTTTTTCCTTTCTCAAATGCCAAAGTGAACACTCATTAACAGGATCTTGTGTTATTTAATGGAACCCATTTTCAAAGACTCCATTCTTGACCTTGTATTTTTAAAGCACCTGTGACTTAGAGTATCTTGAACAATCTCTGACATTTCTACTACCCACAAAATGCCAACTTGCTCTGACACTAGGCAATTGATATAATTACCACTATGTATAAAAGGTGGCTTAGAAAGAAGAAAGAAGCTTACTTCCTCTTATGCTACTACTCAAGCAGCATAATTGTTGTTTAAAAAGATAATGACTTGGGGGCTGGGGTTTTGGCTCAGTGGCAGAGCGCTCACCTAGCACGTGCAAGGCACTGGGTTCAATCCTTAGCACCACATAAAAATAAATAAATAAAATAAAGTTATTGTGTCTAACTACAACTGAAAAAAGTATTTAAGAAAAAAAAAAGAGAGAATGACTTCTTGGAAAGAAATTCCTTGAGTTTCAAGTCCAACATTCATCCCACATGCTTGTCAATGATTTGGTTATTTTATCTTATTCAAGAAAGAATTATTTTGTTAGGCAGGATTGATCTTCCACAGGTCCTGCTTCCAACTTTAGCAATGAACACATGCATGATGACATCTTTCTTGCCTTACTCACCTAGAAAGAACTTTTCCCTGTAGAGTGTCATTTTAAATTTGTATATATTCAAACTCTTTGATATGTGTGGGTGAAGGAAGGGAGCTAGTTTCTGGTTATTTCTCATTGCTTCCAACAGAATGCAGGTAATTTGAATTTCTCTACAACCTAATGGGAGAGTATCTCATTCAGCATTCTGGATTCTGATTGTATAACTTAAAAGGTTGAGTTTTATGATGTAGGAATGCTTTATTTGAGTTTACCCCCTATATATGGTGTGCTCTCTAAGGAGAGTAAATCCTAGATTCTCAGTCAAAGGAGGTCATGTTCTGGCTTGACTATGTGACATTGGGCAAGCAACTTAATCTTTCTATGACTGACTATGTCACAGTCTTATGACTGCAGACTCATAGTCACAAAGTCTTCCTGTCTTCAAGTCATGTCATTTGCAGTGTCATAGTCTCAGAAACTCAACTCCAAGCAGACACAAGGTCATACAGTACTGAGACCTCGAAATTTGCAATGCATTATCCCTAGACCTTCCTGGAGTGAGAGCTTAAAATCACCTCCAAAGCCTCAGATGCTTGGGAGCAGACTGAGTCTAAACAAAGCTACCACCAGTTCTGCACCAAATTCACTGGTATGAGACCAAAGTACAGAGATTCTGATTAAACTTCAGGAATTATTTTACTTTATTCTCATTATCACTTCCATATATAAATTCAATCAATTCTGTACAAACAAATAATTGCCAAGACACCCTTTTCAAGGGTCTCCTCCAGTCCAGTCACTTGGTATGTTCTTTGAATTATTATTTCACCTCACTTATCATGGAGGAAGGTTTTTTCACCAACCTTCCCACTAAAGGGATGCCTCATCACTTATGCACTCTTAAATTTTCTGAATTTGTGATACATCTTACAATTATGTCGTGAGATAATATCACATCCCCCCACCTCCCACCAGGGAGGCCTCGGGACTAAAGAGGTTAAACGCATGAACACATTGCAAAATCAGGGCAGGTACTTTATATATCCACTTCAGAACAATATTACCTACACTACTTCTCAGAAGTTTGTTCTGTTTCCTTTTCTTCAGCTGTACCTCATTTATTATGCTAATTTGAGCACAGGCCTGCACAGTTGTAATGACATACATATGATTGCTACTATTATTAAATAACATGCATATGGTACCTAACAAAGTAGTTCACCGACATTTTTTCCCTACTAGGAATGGTAGCCAGTCCTCACTCAGGTTAAGCAGTGCTCTGCCACTGAGCTACTTCCCCAACATCAGTGGTTCATTAATCTCATCACTATGCAGCAAGAGTATAGGAGCTTATCTTTCTTATCCAACTGTTAGAGAACTTAAGGCTGAGGGAAATTAAGTTCCTTGTAATTGTCACACAGCATAAAGTTTGTTCATTGAGGAGAACCTCAGTCTCCCATATTCCCTTTCAAGGAATTCTTCCACATTGGGTGTAAATAATATAACAGACACAAGCACATAAAAGGGAACCACCGGGAACACTTATCCACGACTGTGGAAGGATATATAATAAGCAAAAGGAGACTGGTAGCATCACCCTTACGCACTGTCCCCTCCAGATGTCATCCCTGGACATTAAAGTCCATTTTGGTCATAAATGGAGGAACCTGTGGAGATAACGAAGGTGCCGTGCCTATGCCCTTCCCCGCATCTTGTTAAGTGGGCACACACTGTGAGGCCAAGATAGGCTTCATTCACACTGGACAGCGAAAGTTCTGCAATAGCAGCCACTAGAGTCTCTCATTTGAATTCACCAACTGCACAAAATTCAGCCAACCCACCCTGATGACTTTGAGTGGCAGCGAGATTACAAGCATCTAGGTGCCACCAGACAGATGCTATTAATTTGCCTAACTGCCACTTATGCAAGAAATAACAAGTACAATTACCAAATTCCTCATCAATGACCTTGACAGGGACTACTGGAAATTCTCAGGGAGACTATATTTCAAGTCTGGGTTTCTGCCAAACATACCTCGCTGCCTAAGGGTTCATTTTAAGAGAAGCAGCAGTGGGGGAGAGAAAAAAGATGAGCTTTGGGTGCTAATCCAAACAACTCTGCTGATCTCTGCTCTTCATCCTCAGCAAGGCAATTAGCCTGTAATTCCCGGGTGATATGGATTGCATCTTGTTTCAGACTGCAGTGTCTATCTCAGTGCATGGAACAGAGTATTTCCATGTTAACATGGATTTTCCTTACCCAAACTGAATCCACTTAGTTGTTTCAAGATCAGTGAATTTACAGACCCTGTCGTAATATTGCTCATACTGTTATTAGAGACTTAATGAATGACTGAGAGCATATATGAACAGGTACATAACCAACTTTTCAGAATCTGTTTACTTATGAGCATATGCAAATGACATTGCACTTGGGAAGTTCTTACCAATACAAGCAAGTCTTATGTCAGAGGTTGGGGGTTCAAAGCCAGGTTTCAGTAAAAAAGATTGTGAATATCTCTGTGTAAGAAGGTATCCAAAAATAGTAGCCTATTCATACCCTCAAGGCCCATGCCAGTCACTTGCCAATTATACTTAAATTTTCTGAATGATGTTTAAAGAAAGACTGGA